ATTAAGGACAGAGTAATTAAAGCTAATATCAAATTCAAATTTTGAAATTTGAATGTCCATTAAATTAGGGAGGATTAAATGGATTAATTGAAATATTTAATCTGAAATTAAATTTCAAATTTTAAATAATGGTATTGGCTAATTGGAGGACGAATTTTAAGGAAGTAATTAATGCTAATTCAAATTAATTCGTGAATTTCGATTGTCCATTATTGTGAGAGAATTAAATGAATTAATTGATTTAAAATCTGAAATTACCATTTCAGATTTAATTAATGGTTTTGGGCTTAATTGGAGGGACGAATTTAAGGAGTTAATTAATCTAATTCAAATAATTGATATTTGATATTATCATTAAATTGTGAGCCTCTCCTAATTAAGAAATTTCTTTATCAAGGAAGGTAAGAGAGGGGAAGGTGCGGGGGGTGTGTGGGGCATCGGCCCTAAGGGAATGGCCAGCGTGACATTTCTTGGCGGAGCCAACAGCGGCCGGACGGCCCATAAGAGAACTTGGGGAGGAAAAGCCCGAGCTGATGCCGTAGGCTAGAGGAAGAGAAGTTTGGGGAAATCTAGGAATTTTCCTAACCACGCTCTTGAAACTTCAAGATCTTCAAAGGAGATTTGTATTGGATGTCATGGAACTCACACAGAGAATCCCGACGAACCTCAAGATCACAGGATCTATAACTCGAACTCACAAAGATCTTGAGCTTAATTGTCTATGACGACAATTTCTTTCTGTTTTAAGCTTATCGTCCTAGCCGATACACGTATCATACAGGATGATTTGTTAATGACGGCTGTCTTAATTAAGAATCCTTGTTTAGATTTTCTGTTTTAAGCCCGATCGTCTAGGACGATGTAAATATCGTCATGGTCGATATGAGTAAAAACAGAAATTCTAAGTCTCTCAAGTGTGTGTGTGTAGGGTTACTTAGCATCAGTCTCTTTGAACATTACAAATAGACTCAAGAAGAGAAAAAATAAAGTACAGACTGACTCAACCCTAAACCTACGCAATCTTGAACTGCTTCTTTTGTTCGTCCAATCTTTGATTCCTGAAAAGTTAGAAGTAACAAGTAGTCCAAGAGAGTTAAAAGTGTTTGTCAATCATCAAAACATAAGTCATAAAAAATAGATTTGCAACAATCTCTTCTCCTTATAAAAATTAAAGTAAAACTCACAATTCCTAATTTATAAACAAGAGTTCTAAATGAACAATATTAACAAACATAACATAGCTATGACAAATATCTTCAACTCTGTAGTGCTCCTATCCATTGTTCCAACACAAAATTTTCATGGACGGTGCACTAGTGCAGCTAGCGATTCAATGTTCTCTTGTACAAGAATGATGATCTTACCCTTATGCTCTTAAGCTTATCTCTTCTTCTAATTAATAAAAATTAATTTAATATAAATTGAAAATACATTAAAATAAATTTATCAGCCAAAATTATTGAGCAGTTATTTTCTTTTGCCAACTCAAAGGATTAATCCAACTAGAAAGTTGAAATTAACTTTAAAATAGGTAAACCATAAAGGACTTATCAACTTTACCAATCAAACGACTAAACTCCACTGAAATATGCTTAAAACTAGTTCAAACGCAACTTCATACACTTCCTTTATCTCCTCATTAACTCAAAAAGCTAACAAAATATTTGGAAAATAAACTAAAACAAGTTCATGAAAATCTACAAGATTAAAGTCAATGATTCCTACCTAACATAAGAAAACATTTATGTAAAAAAAATTGGGGGATGGAATGGGACTTAGAGTTATTAATTAAATAATTTAGTTTCTTTTTTTTTAAGGAAAATTGAAGGCTTAGCCCATTCTATATAAAAAAGAATGTAGATGTACAAAAGGGAATAAAAATCAACCATCAACAAAAAACGAGGCTAGACAAAAATAAGAAAAAACACATTCACAACCCAATAAAAAAGGAGAACAAAAATCAAACAACAATTCTGTATGCCCGGTACTTAATGCATGCAGTAGTGATCATAATGAAGCTTCAAATTCTCCTTTGGTTACCCGAACACCATCGAAAAGGAGATGACATGCATCATCATCGTCCACAACCCAAAAAACCCGCCAATCCATAATCGAGGAAGCATCGACTATAATAGAACCCAAAAGCAACAATCAGGTAGTGTAGCAGTTATCATACAACGAAGAGGTCGGGCAACAGAGACTTGCCACCAACGAACCAAGGCACACAATACCAAAGAAGATTCCATAATAGATCAAAACAACAAAAGCCAAAACAGTCATCTGTATTTCAAATGTAACTTCTCTTTTATGAAATTCACACTTTTCCATCTATTCAGTTTAAGGTAAACATCTCTAGAAATCTTCTTAGATAAAGTGATAGCACAAACTGCCCCCTCATTAAATTTCTTGTTATTTCGTTCATTCCTGAGGAAGTAAATAGTAGCATAGAAGGTAAGAAGAATTTCATTTTTAAGGTTACAGTCGATAGAAAGGCCATCAATGTGTTGTAGAGCTTGAACAATGGTAGGTCTTAGAAAGAAATTGTTGAAGTGTGGGATAAGTTTAGTTAAAAACTGAAAAGAGAAATTACCCTCGAACATCAAGTATGCAGTATTTTCAGTGCAGCCATGGCAAAGAGGGCAGCGATGGTCCAAATTGGATATTCATCTTAGAAAGAGCTTCTGCAATTTTAATCCCTCCATGCAAAGCCATCCAGGTAAAAACAAAATATTTAAGAGAGTGCTTTCTGTGCCAAACTAAAGGGGACTAGTCATAGGAGATGTCAGTAAGAAAAAATTCTAATTAGAACATCTTAAAAGAAGAATTCTCATCATTGTCCCAAATGATGAGATTAAAATAGCTAAGGGAAATAGGGATAGCCTGAATGAGATCTTTAATATTCTAACTGAGAGCATCGGGTAGGGACCAGTTATGGTCATGCATCTAGTCCACAAGTATAGCATTGAGATTACTAAACATGCTGAGAGGAAGATCAGCAAATATATAAGTGATATTGTCATTTAAACTCCAATGGTCCCAAAAAATCGCTATAGGTCTGTTAGGGGAAACATGGTAGAGGAATTTGTTCTTAAACAAAGTAGCAGTGTTGCATATGATCTTCTAAAAACCAAAAACATGATGTTGACAGGTTTTCGAAGGAGAAATGTATCTATATTTCAACCAACAAGATAAAGGAGAGTGTAAAGTCTGATAATAATCCCACAATTAGAAGCAGTTCTTAACACATGAAAGGAGGCAATGCCAAGTCCCGCTTTAGAGTAAGGTTTGGAGGTGTTCATCAATGAAATGAGGTGCAAATACTTTTTTAAAAATTTGCCCTAAATTAATTTGTTTTTATTTTTATTTTTTATTTTTTTTATATTCACCGGATGCATTATATAATGTGCAAAGCAACGAGAAGCAGTCCGAGCCTAGAGATGGCGCCGCACGAACTCCGACGTCCGTTTAAACGGCCGGCGATCTCTGACCAGCAACGGCGACGCGACCTCGCGCTCATCCGGCAAACCCAACAACGCTCCGATTCACAGAACCGTGCCCGCCGCCTTGCCTCCTCCCTCTTCGACCTGCCGAGCCACTCTTTTCCCGACGCATGCCAAGCCGACTTCCCCGACAACGTAGACGTCGGTTATGCCATCGCGCTGGAGCAGTCTCCTGAGCTGGAAGCTTCTTCTCCTACGGTTAGGCATTTGGATTTTGTCCAGGCCTCAAAATTGAAGGGCTCCGCAGCCCGCCACTGGTTTGCCCGCCAGCTCATGCTCACGGAATGGATGATTGACGTTCCTCCTAACCTAGATCGCGATTGGTGAGTTTTAACGTCTGATACATTATTTTGTTCATATATTATGCTCTGAAAGCCATAGAAACTGGATTGGAATTTTTAATCTATGAATAACATGAGTTATATTATTAGCTTTTTTGGACAAGTCAATATCAAACAAAATAAGTGATTAAAGTAATTAGGTTAGTAGGTTTCTTGTATGTATGCCTGTACATGTCTACATAGGTATCTCATAGGTATTGGTTCTAACCAAGGGATTTGGTTGAAGTGGTTGCATCACCTTGGAGGAGCACTCACCATGAGGTAAAGTGACCACACAGTAGTTGGTCAACACTAATCCATAGTTTCTTGGACACTCCTCCAATTAGATCATAACAAGAAGACCAGCCTTGATAGGTTAGGCCGAAGAGTCATCTTCAGTCCTTGGCTTGTGTTCTTCATTTTTTTAGGAGGACTCGCCCATTCTATTCTAGAGATTTGAGTCTTCCCTATAGACTCACCATCATGTTCAAAGGATTTGCCTTAAAAAACTCATCCTATACACCGTACCTCGAAGACTCTCCCAATACACTTACGTATGAAGAATTGCAAAGGGGACTCACTTTGGAATAGAGGGCCACATTGCAAGCAAATATTTACACGGAGATAAATGAACTAAGCCATGTGTTTGACACAGTCTGTAATAAGTCATATCAAACAATATGTTTTTTATTTTTTTATTTTTAGTTGTAACATTTCCTGTAACCCTCCAAGTCCTATAATTAAATGGTGAAGAGGCATATCTGAGGACTATTAGATCATTCAGATCTTCTTGCATTTCTTATTACCCACTATGAGACTTATAAAATAACTAGAGCTTTCTCTATCCTCTATACTCAACTCAAATTCTACTTAACTTTTCAGCTCTCATTTAATGTTTACCTGTAGTAAGGCTAGGTATCATCCATTGAAAATTTCAGATGCAACATCCTTGAAGCTACTGTAAAAGTAGACTGATGCTATGGCTAAAAAAGAGGTGCATCTCCAAGAATATCAAATCTCAAACTGTCAAGGAATATGGAGAACCCCATATACACCACTTGTTGTGACTTGTTGGAGATGAAGAAAGGCACATTAAAATGATTCAATATGCACTAGGACTACAATGGAACACTCCAAGGCAATTATACCGGAAGGATCTTCTAAGTAGGCATTTCATCATAGAAGGTCGGAGACGAGGGCGCTTAATACGACGCAAAATATACCCTTCTCATAGCCATACTAGTGACAATGAGTACAACCCTCCTCCATGGTATTTGTGAAGATTAGAACGTAAGCTGAGCAATGTGTTTTCTAGGTAGATATTTTAATTAAGACCACCTCCTATATCCAAGATGCCCAACTTGAAATCCTACCGGGGAAGAATCAACCTTGTTGATCATGTTGTGTATTTCTAGTTAGTTACTTTGCTTCCTAATGTTGATGATTTCTTGAAGTGTTGGTTATTCATCACCATATTCGATGAGTCCTTTCTTTGGTGGTTTAGTCTCCTATCATTAAGCATGGTCCCCTTGTTTGCATAATTCAATAAAATATTCATTACTTGGCTTGCAAGCACTCAAAGGCCCCTCAAAAATTCAGAAGGCCACTTAAAGATGTGCTAATAGTCAATTGTCGTTGCTAAGCTTGATTGTGTAGTTTTAGAAAGAGATGTTGGAGGTGAAAGCCTAGAGTCAGCAGTTGCATAGGTTTTCTTAACACAAGGTTTTTAAGAAGGCCCATTTCGTTACGCTTTTGGGCTGTAGCGATCACGAATAATGGTTGAATCTCTCGAATTCATCAATAACCATGCAAATACGAAAAGTATATCAATGCGTGTCTCCAAAGTGTCCTTGACTATTGACTTGTTAACGAAGCAAAGCAATCTATACAGGCAACTTGACTTAATGTCTAGCAATCTACCATCGAGGAGCTTGCAATCTACCATTGAGGAGGAGGTCATTCACCTAGATGCGGAACACGAGATGAGTTAGGTAAACCATTTCATTGAGTATTTGTAGACGGGGAAAATAATTACCAAAATCAATGATCCAATGTGATTCAAAATCAAAGCAATGCATTCTGATCTTGGGCGAGCTGTTCAGGAGGTTAGCATCCTCCCAAAACATATAGTCTATAAGGGAGGATGAGAATAAGAAGATACTCACGGAAATACAGTCAAGTGAGTGTGGAAGTCATTCAGGAGGGAAAACACTCCCCCAACGAATTGTCCTATAGGGTTACTTCTGGCCAACCTTTGAAGGGGATGCATAGTTCTCAAAAGCATACATATACTAGTGAAATTTTGATTCCATGCAATTATATCCCTCTCACAAGCTCGAGCTTATCAATAGCTCATGGCGATTTGTTGTTTGGTAAATGGATCTTGTTAGTCCATTTTCCTATTGAGTGGAAAGAGGAAGTTTATTCTGGCTGTAGTGGACTACTTCACCAAATTCATAGATGCCAAATCATTGACTAAGACTACTGCCAATATTATCAAATTTCTTTGGGTCAGACATTATCTACAGTTATGTCCCACCTCTTATAATAATTATTGCAATAGTCCTCAATTTGTCGGCAAGCAGATTAAAAAGACTTCTACCAATTGTAAGGCATTTTCGTTAAATTTGCTTATGTTCACCATTTGCAAACCAATAGACAAGTTGAGCCGACGAATAAGCACAAAAATCATGCTTAAATCTTAAAACGACAGAGACTACTCTCTCTAAGTTGAGTTGAAGCCTTAGCCTGAAAGTGACAAGACTCGCAATAGAGCCAAATCCCTTTGGAAAAGTCTACTCTTGACGAGGTCACCTTCCTATTCTTATTGAGTTGCCTTGGCATGTTACTAATTTATTCTAAAAAATCTAACATAACCATTCCTTCACGTTAAACATATTCACAAGAGACATAAAAAAAGCTCTCTCCCTAAGTTATTATTGTATTACACACTAACTTGCCCTCACTTTTTCCCAACACATAGGAAAAATTGGTGTGTTTGACTAGCTATAGCTGAGGAAAATCTCTATTTACGGAAGCTAAGCCTTGGATGGTGATTCCTCATTTGTGGCAAGATCTTTATTGAGTAGCATGCGAGTCCTTTCCAGCTGACAAGTTTAGATAGTTAACTTTGTGACGATTATAAAGTCTGGAGTAAGTTGATGACGAATTAACGCAAAAGCAGAATTTTACCCCTGGATGCTTCCTCTCTTTGCGATAAGATCTACAATGAGTAGCATGTAAGTTCGTTCCATCTGACAAGTCAGGATGGCTACCCTCATGAAAATTATAAATTCTAACATAAGGTGAGGCTCACCTAAGATGGCATTATGTCGAGTCAGATACATTTATTCTCAAGTGCAGTGCTATGACATGGACACGAATGAGCAACTAACCTACTAACCTCTCAAATTCAGTCATCAAGTTTATAATTAACACCAACCACTAATTTTCCTTATAAAAAATTGGCCCAGTCATGATTTAATGAGTGCTAGTATATTATCTACATGTCCTCATACTCATTGAGCCCAGGGCAGACGTGTTCAAGTTCACCAAGTTCAATAGTTGAGAGTATCATTGTGTTCTTGTTGAGAGTTGAGTTTGATACTTATTTTATTATTTCAATTACATTTCCTTCCATTCATTTAATTTTGAAGAGTATTAATTTGTTCATAAAGAGGTGAATATTATTATGCTTGTTATTCAGTTATAGCCGAATTCAATAATTAGAAGAATTTCTTAGTTATATTTGAGCAAGCATTGAAATAATCGACTTCAACCACTCGTTCATTGAAATAGAGTTGAGGAGTATATCCTCCCTCATTAAATTTGACTGTTAGCCTGGCAATCTTTGCATCTTCTTGATCCTTCATTGATTGCACAAACTCCTTAATTGCCTCCTTCCATCTCTTATCTGTAAGCTTCCTCCTTACTAGCTAGGTCGATCTTCAAGGTTTTGACCTCCTCTGCAGGACGATGAGCTAATCTTTCATCCTTGAGGTGAGACTTCTTAGAAAAGCGCCCCTTTTTCAAGGCAACAACCTTTGCCATAACCTTTCGATGACTACGAACCAGGGAGTAGATAGTATACGAATGAGAACTAAACGAATTCATTGTGGCAAAGGTGAGCTCTTCCTTAGGAATCCCATTCAAGGTCGCCTCAAATGCCTTTAAGGAGACTACCTACCTATTATAATAAATCTTCTGAGGGGGTGTTAAGAGTTGTACTCCCTCGGAGAAGGCCACTTCCTCAAAACATTTTGGCTTTGAAGGGAGGATAGAGTTGGCCTCACTCTCAATTTTAGAGACCGCTTGCTTACTTTTTCCCTCTACCACCTTGTGATTAGGCTTCAGTACCTCCTCAGTTGCCCTTTATATGGATCTTCATTGATAACTCGCCCTTTGCTCATGACAGGGGAGGGTAAATCAACCACAAGGGAGCCACCCTCAATTATAGCCGTTGTAGGCTCAATAGCTCCACTCGATTAGTAGGAGGCTTCACCAAGAAGAGGGAAACGACCTCCACTTTGAGGAGATTGACGTGCGTGCGGGCGCTTGGGGTGGGGGGGGGGGGGGGGGGGGGGGGGGGTTGTCACACCCCAATTTGCCCCTTTAACAGTCAAATTGGAGTATAACAGAAGGAAATAAATCTATTTGGATACTCCCAATACTTCAGCATATCAAACTCCACACTTTAGTAATATGAAGTATATAATATACCTCAATTAACATCAAATATAATTAAAGTACATATAGAGCTCTACTAAAACTTTTAAAATTTACTTACATATCCAAAAAGTCTACAGAGCTATCGTTCAGATCTCTTTTTAGATCATTTGTACACTCAAAATATATGTACACCCAAAAAGAACAGTCATCCCCTTTAATGCCTTATAGGCTCATTTCCCTTGCCTGCAGTACGACCACTGCCAATGAGCTATGACCCAATAAAATACACAAGTAATGTACAAGAATTAATAATAATATTTTAACCATTAAGAAAG